GATCAAACCATCAAGGTTTTAGGTACTGAAATCTACGAAAATACTAACTTTTTTATATATAATTCCACATGTAAATATTCTTATAACATTTACTTGCTTAGTCCTACATATAAAATTGTTTACTTTTATTTATAAGTACGTGAAAATAATTCTTAAAATGTGGGGTTAGAATAACAGCAAACGCATGTTTTACAAACGTTTTTTTTTAGTTATTATTTTATTTGAGTAAATTTAAATGGTAACAATGAATAAACAAAACATCAAGGATTTTATTTTTGTGCTTACTTTTGTTCTACACGTTTTACTTTTAAAGATTTCAGTACCTAAAAACGCCAAAAATTTCACTATTTCTCGGCCAGGAATATGGCCACCTTAAAACCCCCGCTACTTGGAGGCAGTTTTTGGGGCCAAGGGGTAGATTTAGGGCTTTGTGCCCATTGAGACTTTTGATCTACATGTTAAGAACTATCGATCTGCGAAGTTTCAAAAAAATTGGCCGAAAGCCACTTCCCATAAGAAAAGTGCGAGATCCTTTGTGCTAAACTTTAAAATGTTCTCATTTTCTCCTTTATTCTGTTAAATTGCTTCCAATTTAATGCCATCACTTATTGTTAATTAGATAAATTTTAATTGAAAGTGAAGTAACTGAATTGTGTATCAAGTATAATATTTTAAAGCTTAAGAATCATGTTAAGAAAAATCATTATTTTTGTTTTTTTTTGTTGATTTTGACAGAAGGGATCTGCTTTGAATGTTCGTCACAACATTGTTCGTATACCCTGTATTTAATTATTAGTAGGAGCTAAAACTACTTAAAACGATAATCATTTGTTGTCAAAATTATTAGCAAAATACATTAATACATAAAAATTATGTATACTTAAAAAATAATCAAAACTTTGTTGATATAACCACTACATCTCATGCCAATGTCCTTCTAGGTATCAGATATCTTCTCATTAATATATTGTGGACTGAACGGTCTTTCAAAAATTCTGTAAATCCATGATTACTACTTGTAAGAAATCGTTGTGTAAGTAATAAATACTTTGAAATTTTTGCTTTTAAAGAAAACTGTATTTTCTTATTACCTAGAAGTATGTCTTAATTGTAATTTTTGCTTAATAAAATAAATTTTTTTAAAATGAACTAATATTAATGATTCTAACACAGACAATATTGATTATCGCTCCAGACAGCGCTTGGAATAGGACAAAAGTTTTAAATTTCCGAATTGCCGACAGAGTGAACCGCCAGCAGAATTTTAGGAAGAATCAAATCCAGCGGTCGACATTCCTACGCGTATCCTAGCAACGCATAGATAATAGTAGATAATAGTGGCAATATTGTCACGCGTACGCTCGGATTTATTTTGTACACTTTTTTATCAAAGCCTATTTTTTGTATTAGGTACTATATTTACTTACTTAAATGTATGAAGTAGTCAATTTCAGATGATCAGATTAGTGTCTAGAAACTGAAATCTTTGACGTGATAAAATACAGAGTACTCAATACAAAATATGTGATTCCCTACATTTTTACGCAACCTGTATAATGCATTTTATAACATAAGTGTTAATATTGTATCAAATTGGAAGTCGACGTACAAATCTAAAATCATTAATTTCAAGTTTTTGAATTCTCCCATTCCAAGGCGAATTCATATAAAATAAATAATAAATTAGGTAAATTCATAGTTTCAATTCTAGCTTATTTATTTTATTTAACATTTAACACAAATGTAATTTCCAAACAAAAGATTAAGTTTTATATAACTCCTCAATTACGTAGTTAAATGCATTAAATTTATTTGTATGCCCAGTTATTACTTGGCAACACTGCCACCGCTAGAACTGCCCCACTATTACCGAGTAGAAGAGTTACCACGCTAAATTTTATTGCTGGATGTCAGCTCAGACGAGCATGCATCCTTTTGGGGTTGCCAGTTTCCAGCATTTAACACGCGGTCTGAAACGGTAACCTATATTGTCTTTGATTCTAATATAACATTTTATTTTTATGAATGTAAATTTCTTACAACGTTAGTCCTTATTATTTTTTTTTTCTAAGCACTAAAGCTAACAGAATAAGAAGGTAAAATATAATATAAATGCATTCTACATGTTACGAATAAAGCAATGAATAAACTAATTCAGTTTCAAATTTATGTTTGACATTAATTAATTTTTTTAGTTCTCGGAGAGATTTGTCAAAAACACAGCGATTGTCACGAACCTCTTCGGGAAGCAAGTCGCTTGGAATGCATTTTAGGCGAATGCAAATGTAAATCTTTCTACACAGAGGTGAATGGGTACTGCATAAGTAAGTATTTGTTGGAATATTTTTAAATAACATATTGAACTTCCAGTTTTACATGATCAAAATGAATTTAATTCCCAATGGCGATGCCTTTCTGCCTCAATATAATATAATAATCCAATATTTAATGAAATACTATTTATAGTTCTTGTTTAGTATGATTTGAGGGCAATATTGGTGACTTCTTTAAAAGTACGAAACTAGATAGACGCAAAAAAAATTTGTGTTAGTTTTTGAATTTACTTTATACATATATTTGTAGACATAGTTGCACTGCAAATCTTAAGGCGGATTTTCATTAGTCAATTCATTGAATCTATATTGTTGAAATAAAATAGATTAATGTAAACATCCGTTCAACGCTATTGCTCAATAATATTGTGTTTCAAAAAAAATGAAAGACATTTCTAATTTTTGTTGATTGATAATGATTCAATTAAATTGAACAGAGCTTGACCGTGAAAACAAATGTTCAGTTGCACTAAAAGGCCATTGTGTGTTTTTGAGATTCAATTTTTGTGAAATACTATTTTCGGGCAGGCTGTACAATTCAGTTCAGAGATGAAAACGAATCTCCAGTGGCTAAATATATTAAAATTACTTGTAATTTAAATCTTGCAGGAAGAGCTTAATAAAGTAATCTTTTTCTGTATGACACTTTCTGTCAAATTTCTTTTCATTTTCTTAAATAATTTTTATAGGCATCCAAGCCACCTGAAATTAACTCTACTAACAACTTTACTAAAGCACGTTCATATATCCGTTTTAAGATCCATTGTCTGACCCACCAACGACGAGATTTTCTTTTTTCCTATTTCTGAAGGTTTTTAAATATTCACACATAATATGAACGCCAGCTAGCAGCTGTTTTTAATACTGATACTTTCTAGACTGTATATTCAATGTTCTTGATTCATGTGAATGAATTTTACTTTCAATTCTATGTCCAGCTGCGTAGATTCAACGATATTGATCAATGAAGTTGACTAATGCGAACCCGCCTTTAGGTACTTGAGCAGAGAACGCATTAAGGTAAGTTCATGCAGTAGCGATTTGCGATTTGCGGATTTCAATTTAATTGGTTGAAATAAAATATTTTTGACATCAATTTCTTCATTTCAATATATTGCGAGAATCGCATAATTTAAACATAGGGGGCGGGAAAATAGAAACTGTTTCTTTTTTTGGGGATTATCGCAATAATTTTGATTAACTGCGCATGTGCAGTCCGTCCAGTTCCGTCATTCGCAAGTAATTAAAATACTTTTTAGTGTCATGTAATCTCATTTCCATTACCAAATTATGATTAGCGCCCTGGGGCCTNAACTGATACTGAATACTGCTTCACAGAACAAGAATTCTCAGCGCTGAAAAATTTAGAACTAATTTTGCAACCAATAAAGCTAGCCGTAGAAGTTCTATGCCGCCAAGATTCGACATTGTTAACAGCTGAGACAACAATAAAATTCATGTTAAGAAAACTGGAAGAACTTAATTTACCTTTGGCTGCAGAAATGGCTGAATCTTTGAGGCAGAGAATTTTACAGTGACGAACAAATTTAACCCCCACCTTGATATACATACAAAGCACTTCGAAATACATGGATTTAATTTCGTTGAATGATGATACTTTTGGCATGCCAGCAGTCTGTTATTAGAAATGAAATATACCTCTTTCTCAAATAGCAACGCAAATTGAACATGAAAATCTTTCTACAACACTTTCATTACAAGAAGAATTGGAGCGCACTTTAGTCAGTGAAAATATATGTATTACAAACACTCCGACATCTGATATTAATTCATTAGATTCACTTATCAGAAAGGAGGTGGCCCTGTTGGAATCGGGAGGATCTAGAGGAAAATACCTTGACTTGGCATATAACTGTTTAAAGTCTGTAACACCTACTAGTGTTGAGGCGGAGAGAGCATTTTGGGCAGCGGGTTATCTAGCCAGTGACATTAGAAGTAACTTAGCTGACCATACCTTAAGTACGTTGTGTTTTTTACGTAAATATTTCCAACAAATTGAATAATGTATTATTTCTTTAATAAAAACATAATTAAAAATGAAAAACTAATATTTCTTTACCATCATCAATCCAAATATAAAAAAAGATAATATTGCATATCAGACAAGCGGGATCCCGCAAATACCGGGATCCCGCGGGAGTGTAACTATTAATCTCGTTAATACCGGGATTATGACTTTAAATCGGGATTGCACTCCCTAATTGTGTACGATTGCCAAATGCGACTGATTTTGTAAAAGACCGCGATCAGCTCAACCCAGAACGGACCGCGATGCGACGGGACCGCGAACACCTACTGCGTTTTCTGCTTTATAACACCTATTTTGTTTTTTTAGTTCTCTATATCTACTTTTCTAAAATGTTCGTGATTTATTTATCTCTTCATCTCCAATTAATAATTATTAGATATGCTTCTTTGTCAGAAGCCTGTATAATAGACTATTCTTTACATAGTTATTAACTGAATTGTACATACAACATATTTTATTAAAAGGGATAGAACTAATGTCAAAATAGAATAATCAAACGAAAGATTTATCCAATTGTGCGTAGGTAATTTAGAATAAAATAATTAAAAATTTTAGTATAAAGTAAAAAGATAGTGTTGCAAAATCATTGGCTGCTATCAAAATGCATCTAATGCTTATCTGAGGATTTTTACAAATTCAGACCAGTCTTTTTAGTAAAAAGGAAAAATTGCCTTTTCAATAATCTAACTACTTAAACTTTTAAATAGGTATCATAAAAACTTGAAACTTCTGCTTGGCATCCATATGACATAGAATGTTAACCCTAGGTAATAAACCATGAAGCCTTGTCCCATTGTTAATGAAATAGCATATAAAGAGTTACTTCCTAAATAATATGATTTTTATTGTCTTCACATAGAATTTGTCCTTAGACTTTACTAATTTTGTAATTTGTAATATTTTTGTAGTATACTACTCCTGCTGTATCCGTTTCACTATAAGTGTTTATTATTATCGAATTTATCATTTTTTATCGGTACTTAAGGCGTTATATTGTGAATAAATTTTGTGTCTATTAATAACATATATCTATTCTGTTTCAGGTTCATCGGAGAATCAGATCCATTCATTGATAATAATTATTTTTCATGTGGTATTTCTACGGATATTCTTATAGTACTTCTACTCCTTCCATATTGTTAATTTATAATAATTTTATGTGAACATGTTTGTCTGCATAGAATGCAATGTTTTTTATTTGTGATTTTAAAGGAATGTTTCCTGTTGGTAATATTTTTATATTATTAAACATGTCTTTTAATGTGTTCTGGTTTTATTTATAATATATTTACAACTTTTTTACCGTAAACCAAAGCTTGTATTTGTAATTAGGAAATGAAATTATTACCGAGTAGCTTGGAATTTTTTAAATTAAAAAAAGAATTAACTTGAAAGAAAATTCTTCGTCTTATAAGTGGCGAATTTCCTGATAATTTTGAGCCTTAGTATTCCCAAGGAACTACACAAGTATCTCATTCTAAGTGAATCAACAATATTGTACTTTGCCTTTCCAAAGATAGCCAAACCGAACGTTACTTTTAAGTAAGTGCAGTTAGATCAGCTATGCATCCGTTCTACCGGTACGTGTCACATAAAATTAAAAACTTAATAGGAAAGCAGGATTAAGGGAATCCAACTAGATCTAGATATCCCAATGAGTTTAGACAACATTGTTCACAAAAGTGCCAAATAAAAAAGCTTTGGAAGAAAGTTATTGAATTCAATTCAATTCAAGATTTAATTCAATTTAAAGTTACCTGTTTATACCAGTCTATCTGGTTTTAGGCAAGGAACAAAAATGTCGACCAAACTTTGGCATATATACAATATATATATTTTACTTTCGATTGGTAATAAATTTATCCAAAAACTAAATAACTACATTCATGGAAAAAAAAATTAACAACTTTAATTTTTTATTAAAAATAGCTGTGCAGGGAATTGGATGTCGACCAAATAAAGTTTTGTTTACTAATACATTATAATAAATTAATTTTTTAGGCAACATTGTGCACGTCCTTGTTTTATATATTCCTCCTAGAACAATATGTGATACATACGATATTTTATTTGATGCCCTTGAATCACTTTATCACATTTTCGATTCTAATATTTTAATTTTAGGTGATTTTAATATTCCTGATACGTCAAACCTCCAATGCTCTGTTAATAAGTCATTAAATAATTTTATGCAATTTTTTAATTTAACTCAAAAGAATCAAATTTTAAATAAAAATTATAGAATTCTTGACTTAATTTGTAGTAATTTTGATGATTGTGTTGTTTCTAGAACTGATGATCCACTTTTGAATGAGGATGATCATCATCCTGCACTCATAGTCACATCTACACTTCCATCTACCAATGATAATGCGTTTCCGCTTGAAAATAAGCACATTTTAAATTACAAAAAGTGTAATTTTAATTTATTATATCAGGAAATTACTAATTCTGATTGGTCATATCTATCCAATTTTAATAGTGTAGATGATATGCTAAACGAATTTTATAATGTACTGAATTTATTGTTACACAAATACGTACCTATAAAAAAGGAATCTTATGGACATTATCCGGTTTGGTTTAGTGGCAAAATTATTAATAAAATTAAATTAAAAAATAAACTTTGGCGTAAATNTTCGAAATATCTGAAAATCTTCCGAATATCAATAGGTGTCTTACTAATACAATGATGGGAATGTAAAGTTGTCTGATTATAAAATTTTGATAGCAGTTTATTAATTTTAATTCTTTATTATATTATATATCTATTATATCTTATATTAACAATAAATTACTTTGCATTATTACTAGATTAGAAAAATACAAGTACAAGTACAAATTGTTTAATATTGTAACACTTGTTTACTTTTAAAGTATTGTGATAATAGGAATCAATATATATATGTATTTCATTTTATAATGAAAACTATCGTGGTTGTATAGAATCAAACCTCAGTTGTTCACACCAGCGCGCAACGCCCGAATAAGGTTGATTTTTATATCTATGTGCTAGCTTGAATACATTTGTTTAATGAATTGTGAATTTGTGAGGAATATGCCATACTCGTTTATGTTTATAAAAACCCATGCGCGCGGCGTTTCCAGCCTAATTAGAGGCTGTGGTTCCTTCGAAGTGTGCCTTGTAAGTTTGTATGGGGTCTTACCTGCGCCTCGATGGACATATACTGGTTGGTGTTGAGAGACTACACCAGGGGTCGGCAAGTAATTTTAGGTGGGGTCCGGACACTTTTGAAATTTTTTAACGAGGTCCAGAAAAAAATTCATATTTCTTACTAATTTTTTATTTTCATTTGCATTAAGAACTCAAATCAGTCCCAATTGTAAAATACCAGAACAAATGATAAGGGTGGCACTCAAACGTAAAAAAATATTTTTTAAATAATTTATTTGGGTAATTTATATTTTAAAAAAATTTTTGGCGGTCCAGTATTTTACCTTCCGCGGTCCGGATCTGGACCGCGGTCCGCCAGTTGCCGACACTTGGACTACACTAATTATTGCTGGGGACGTTTTTTATGCGCATGAGTTCATATCCGCTGGAAATTTTAAATTCAATTTAAAATTTCAAAAAAGATGTTGACATGTTAGAAAAATTACTTCTAGCTATATGAGGTATAATTACATTTTGTCAAACACATAATAGAATGTTACTTGTGGTTAGCAAGTGAAATATGATAATAGCTTTTATATCTTATTTGTATGGTATTAGTCTATAAAGTATAAATTTGTTCTTATTTATGTTTCCGATTTGCTAAAAGTTGAACTGTTGAATTGTTTAAATTTTTAGGCAAGTGTTCTGAAACGTTGCGATTAAATTTTAGGATAGTAAAGTAGTTTCAATTATACACAAAAGTGGTGGATCCATTTTCGTTTCATTTCAAAGTTATACGGCTTTGAAATTTTTGGAGTAAATAAACAGAATTGCATTCTTAGATTAAACAGGAACTAATTTTAGTCAGCCAAAAATGTTCAAACAATGATATTGTTAAAATGTCCTCTTCGTTGCTGTCGAAAACTTTGTGCAAACATGAGGTTTGATGAAGACTTTTTTCTTGTAACCATTAAACAACTTTTGCCTTTTAAGTAGTGTTTATTACATGCACAAAACACACATATGTATTTACAAAACAAATGATTTAAAATTACACAAGTTTATCCAATATTTTATTTGTAGAAGTGCTCTATAATGACTAAAGGCCACTTAAACGCACGGTGAAACTAAGTAACAAATGTTTTATTTTTAAATAAATGACAAATTTCCGAAATATAAAAATGTAAATTGAAATAGAAATTTCACAAAATCATAAGCGAGTCTTTATTCTCTTGTTCCTAATATATTTAAATACATGAATATAATAGTTTNACTACTATCATATTTCATAGATGCAACTGTAAAAGTACATACAAAATTCTGAAAATGAATTAAAAATTATGTAACAGTGGTTATGTAATAAATCATTTAATTCTTGTTGTTTTCGCGTTTAAAATTTTGAGTCAATCGACAATATTAAAGCAAATAATCTAAGATATGAAAATATAGATAATATGGTACACGCTTGTTCATCTATTTAAAAAGTTAATTTTATGAAATATCTGGAAATATGTATATAGCTTGATCAAACTAACTTGTCCATGAGAAGCGCAGATTAAGAAGAGTGTCCACAGTAGGAATGGCAAAGACAGGAGGCCTTAAGAGCACATAGGCAACCAGAAATACATTTTTATAGATTTTATTACACAGTTTGTCTAAATATGAATTAATGCACAAATAACATACTTTCCCCTATTTTAACACAGATTTCCTATAAAATGGACTCAAGTTACTTTTCGATGTAAAGAAATTTGTAATTTACGATGCCGCTTGTTCAAAAATGAAAATCTGCGTTAAAATGGAGCAGTCTTGTTATTTGTGCATTAATTCATATTTAGACAAACTGTGTAATAAAACCTATAGACATGTATTAATGGTTGCCTATTTGTTATAGAGCCCTCCTTAGATTAGGAAAGCCTAATGTAAGGAGCCCTCTTAATAGTACGGCAGGTACCTTTTGTGCCAAAGGTTTACTTAGGACTGGTAAATACAGTTGAATATGAATAGTACAATTAGATCAAAATTTAAGATGAAGCGAACACATTGAACAAATTATTAAAAAACTTCGTATACTCTTTTTCAAATTAAACATATTACAGGTTGGAAAACAAAAGTTCGATGTCACCCATTGGTTGTGTCAATAATACTTACCTACTACAGAGGATTGTCACTTGGAGTGAATAATATGACAAAATACTATTCTAAAAATATAATTTCATAAAAACCTTATATATCCCGCAAAATTATATTATGAGGTTTATATTATTATAGTTCATTAATTTACATTGTAAAAATAACAAGATTAGTAAAACCAATGTTTTACAGATTATCAAATGAGAACTACAACAAATATTGACATTCAGATATCTTTACTTAAAAGATCACATCTCCAAAGATATAATTTTTTTGTACTAAAAATGTTTAAATTAATTAAATTTGATTAAATAAAATTTAATTAATTAAAATTATTTAAATTTAATTAACTACGTACAATTTGTGCAAATAACAAATAACATGTGAAATTAATGTAAATCTTAAAACTAATAAATTTCCTCAATTTAGTATACAACAAAAGGTATACAACAAAATTTATTTCGTTTCCACTGTTGCCAGTATAGAGATTGAAGTTTATTAAACATATTGATTTTCAGTTGGGCTGAAGTTACTAAAATCCTGAAAAGAATTTTGTAAAAAAGTTTTGGGGTGTCCGGAAATAAAACGGCTATACCTATAAAAATATTTAACTAGAATTAAAATTTGCATTGAATGCAAGCTTCAGCCCGGCGAAAGACAATTTGACTGCACTTATTTTGAATATTACGTTTTGTGTTACTTTTTGGTTTATATGCGCACTTGCTACGTTACCAGGCTAGCACTGGAGCTCATTCTCCGTCTGAGGTACCTGCCCTATCATTAAGGTCTCCTCTCTTTGTCACTCTTACTACGGACTCTTTTCTTGATCTTCGTTTCTCGCGGATAAATGAATTTCATCAACCTATATTATATTCTTCGACAGAACCCCTTGCTTTACCATTACAGGACTCATAAACGAAATACATGTCAAAGTACTTTCTGTTTCAAATGCATTATATTATTGCATTATTTTTTTTGTGAAAGTTCAACGGAAAATAATCTCGAATAAATAATCTCTAGTGTTTTTGACGTAATCGACAATAATGTATTTTGTTTTGTGTTAGCCATGGCACATCTTAACAACATCCTTGAATGGAGTTATACAAGTGTTTTTTGGAGAGTTATAATGTTTTAGATTATAATATTGGGTTGACGAATGAATCCCCTTAGTTAGAAGACATCACTTTCAACACATTTAATAAAAAATAAAAAACAAACATGTCGATAAAATTAAACACAATTCGGGTAATGAAATTATAAATAATATCGTCAAAAGTGTTATTTTCAATAGCTTTTTATTAACATTGATAAAAATGTAGCTAAATAAATTGCACTGCCTAATACATACCTTCCTATAAAATTAAAGCAGTTTCAGTCGGCAGATGATAACACATTCATTAAAAAATAATTCTGCTTCAACTGAGGATAATAGTATCATACAAGGTGTATATAAAATCCTCCTGAAATCATTAAAACAAATTATTGATCTCATATTTTAATTTAATGTGATTTCCAGTGCATGGAAATTATATCTGTATAGTAATTTTAGTTTAAAAAATTGGTCAACTGAAACTACAAATTGTACACCTGTATCTAATGCAAACATACTAGAAAAATATTTGAAAACAAGATAGGTTTAGTCTTTAGAAGACGAACATATTCAATAACCAATTGTATTTTAGATGTACAACCTACTACCTACATACATTGACTAATGAAATAATAAATCCATAAACTTTCTATATTTACGGATTTAACTAAGATATTCGACAATATTGGATAATATATTATTACAAAAACTACAAGGTATTGGAGAAAAAGGATATGGTTAAATTTATTAAAATATTACCTAACAAATCGTAAACAAAAAGTTAAAATTAATAAACATATAAGTAAAGGATTAGAAATTGAAGCAGGTATTTTTAAACCTATGCGTATTTTAATAAACATGAAATTGCAAATTTACTTAACAATGAGATTTCTTACGTAGATAATACTACTATCATATTTCATAGATGCAACTGTAAAAGTACATACAAAATTCTGAAAATGAATTAAAAATTATGTAACAGTGGTTATGTAATAAATCATTTAATTCTTGTTGTTTTCGCGTTTAAAATTTTGAGTCAATCGACAATATTAAAGCAAATAATCTAAGATATGAAAATATAGATAATATGGTACACGCTTGTTCATCTATTTAAAAAGTTAATTTTATGAAATATCTGGAAATATGTATATAGCTTGATCAAACTAACTTGTCCATGAGAAGCGCAGATTAAGAAGAGTGTCCACAGTAGGAATGGCAAAGACAGGAGGCCTTAAGAGCACATAGGCAACCAGAAATACATTTTTATAGATTTTATTACACAGTTTGTCTAAATATGAATTAATGCACAAATAACATACTTTCCCCTATTTTAACACAGATTTCCTATAAAATGGACTCAAGTTACTTTTCGATGTAAAGAAATTTGTAATTTACGATGCCGCTTGTTCAAAAATGAAAATCTGCGTTAAAATGGAGCAGTCTTGTTATTTGTGCATTAATTCATATTTAGACAAACTGTGTAATAAAACCTATAGACATGTATTAATGGTTGCCTATTTGTTATAGAGCCCTCCTTAGATTAGGAAAGCCTAATGTAAGGAGCCCTCTTAATAGTACGGCAGGTACCTTTTGTGCCAAAGGTTTACTTAGGACTGGTAAATACAGTTGAATATGAATAGTACAATTAGATCAAAATTTAAGATGAAGCGAACACATTGAACAAATTATTAAAAAACTTCGTATACTCTTTTTCAAATTAAACATATTACAGGTTGGAAAACAAAAGTTCGATGTCACCCATTGGTTGTGTCAATAATACTTACCTACTACAGAGGATTGTCACTTGGAGTGAATAATATGACAAAATACTATTCTAAAAATATAATTTCATAAAAACCTTATATATCCCGCAAAATTATATTATGAGGTTTATATTATTATAGTTCATTAATTTACATTGTAAAAATAACAAGATTAGTAAAACCAATGTTTTACAGATTATCAAATGAGAACTACAACAAATATTGACATTCAGATATCTTTACTTAAAAGATCACATCTCCAAAGATATAATTTTGTTGTACTAAAAATTAATTAAACTTGAATAAATAAAATTTAATTGATTAAAATTAATTGAAATTATTTAAATTTAATTAATTACGTACAATTTGTGCAAATAACAAATAATATGTGAAATTAAAGGAAATCTTAAAACTAATAAATTTCCTCAATTTAATAGGTATACAACAAAATTTATTTCGTTTCCACTGTTGCCAGTACAGAGATTGAAGTTTTTTAAACATATTGATTTTCAGTTGGGCTGAAGTTATTAAGAAAATCCTGAAAAGAATTTTGTAAAAATGTTTTCGGGTGTCCGGAAATAAAACGGCTATACCTATATTGTAATTAGGGTATTTATTCCAATTAAAAAAATATTTAACTAGAATTAAAATTTGCATTGAATGCAAGCTTCAGCCCGGCGAAAGACAATTTGACTGCATTTATTTTGAATATTACGTTTTGTGTTACTTTTTGGTTTTATATGCGCACTTGCTACGTTAGCAGGCTAGCACTGGAGCTCATTCTCCGTCTGAGGTACCTGCCCTATCATTAAGGTCTCCTCTCTTTGTCACTCTTACTGCGGACTCTTTTCCGTTTTCTCGCGGATAAAATGAATTTCATCAACCTATATTATATTCTTCGATAGCACCCCTTGCTTTACCATTACAGGATTCATAAACGAAATACATGTCCAAGTACTTTCTGTTTCAAATGTGAATCAATGGATTATTTTTTTTTTGTGAAAGTTTAACGGAAAATAATCTCCAATAAATAATCTCTAGTGTTTTTGACGTAATCGACAATAATGTATTTTGTTTTGTGTTAGCCATGGCACATCTTATCAACATCCTTGAATGGTGTTGTACAAGTGTTTTTTTGAGAGTTATAGTGTTTTAGATTATAATATTTGTGTTGACGAATGAATCCCCTTAGTTAGAAGACATCACTTTCAACACATTTAATCCAATAGCTTAATTTTAAATATCTACATTAGTAATTAATATTAATACTCATCATTAAATTTAACAGTTAACTTGAGCTTTTGTTTATTTAAGTCATTTATTAATTTTAATTTTTTGGGGTCATTTGTATTTCTCATTTAGAGGCTGTAACTTCCTTAGCAATACATTTTTTACAATTCCACCTACAACAATTTGTTAATCCAAACCAATTTTTTTTACGAATTCAGCTAGATACTTTTTTCTGTATAATCTTATACATGGAAGCTCAATGTGGACATTGTAATTAGTAACATACAATGAAGATAATGTTGATGAGACTATACATGTATGTCCAAAAAGTCTGGAAACACCTGAATAATTTTCCAGGTAAATTATTTTTGAAAAATGTTAAGGTCATTCTTGTAGTAACTTTTGACGAAGAATTCAATGGTGACCTTGGATTTGACCTTGACGATTACCTTGAAGGTTACTTCAAGGTTACCTTCATTTTTTAAATGGAAACCCCTTTTTTCGACATCGGCAATCGAAAGAGCGGGACATTTTACGTCCCAAAACTCTAAGGTCATAAATCAGGGTTGATCTTGAAGCTCATTCAACGGTTATTTATATTTGAGGGCTGGATATTTCCGAAGGACGCAGTTTATGAAAATAGTAAAAAGCTCACTTTAATTATTTTGTTTAATTGCAATTAGTGGTGATCTCAAACTCGACCTTCTTGGTGTCCTTCAAGGTCATTTTTTTTTACTGAAAATCTCATGTGACGGCGGCAATAAAAAAGCGGAAGTTTTCGTACTTTTATTTTTAGCGTTACCCAGGAACAACGACGTGGACGTAGTAATTTCTGTTCCCTTTGGGGTGCTTTATTATCGTGAATCCCCTTGCCTCTCACGTTTGGGGTGCTTCATTATCGTGAGTCACCTTGCCTCTCATGCTTGATTATCGTGAAAAAAAGTAACCTTGAAATGATCTTGAAGGACACTAAGAAGATCGAATTTAAGGTCACCACTAATTGCAATTAAACAAAATAACTAAAGTGAGCTTTGTACCTACTATTTTCATCAACTTCATTCTTCGGAGATATCCAGCCCTCAAATTTAAAGAACCTTTGTATGACCTTCAAGGTCAACCCTGATTTATGACCTTAGAGTCTTTGGACGTAAAATTTCCCGCTCTTTCGATTGCCGACGTCGAAAAAGGGGGTTTCCATTAAAAAATGGAGGTGACCTTGAAATAACCTTCAAGGTCATCGTCAAGGTCATTATTGAATTCCTCGTCAAAAGTCACTACAAGAATGACCTTAACATTTTTCAAAATGTATTTACCTGGGAAACTATTCAGGTGTTTCCAGACTTTTTGGACACCCGGTATATGGAAATATAGTGATGTGAAATAATTTTGAAAATTATCAGTATAATCACCTCTCTAAATATAAAGATGACATTCCCGGATATCCTCAGAAAGTACATTTAAATGTCACAGACTTGTTTGTTTTTGCTTAAAATCCATACGAGCCATTAATTGTGTATTTAAATAATGTTAATTGGAGATTCCTAGGCGTATGCAGATAAAAATGTTCGGGAATGGTCAGCAGTAATGGGATCCCACTTTGTATATTATTTCTTTAACCATTCAAGAAATTTGTTTTCTTATGATTTTGCGACAAAGGTCTACAATCAATCGTGTTCGTAATTTATCTGAGACGACTTGTAAACCTGCCTTAATTATTTTCATAAATTATAATAATATAACTATAAGAATAGAAATAATAAGTGGCTAATCTTTTGATACGACCAACATTGGGTATAACAATTTATAAAGTAAATGGAAAAACAAAACCAATCAGCTCTATTGTTTAATATTGCGCTAATAGAATGAGGACCTAGGTATGTTTGATGTTTGACTTGACATTTCTTATACATTGATATATGTCCTATAAGAATAAACTGTTTTTAAATTTTGAATTTTGGACGCTGTCTAAATTAGATCAGTTTTATTGAGTAAATTTAAAAATACAGTGCATCCAAGTTGAGTTACATTAAGTTTAGATGCTGCTCTAGGGTTAGTTTAACAGAACAATAGGTTGATTTTAATATCTCTAAAATATATAAATTTTATGTTTTGATTCTGAATCAATGTATTTAAAATGCGTAATTTCAATTTTAGTTACTTACCACAGATGTCTCCTGGATTCACATTGTCAAAATATAAATGAAAATTCTTTTTGCTTTGACAATGATAACAACAGAGTGGGAAGGTGTAAATGCATTGATGGATATGAACTTCTAAGTAGAAACAGAACCTTTTTCGCTTGCCTTCAAAGTAAGTATTTATTCTAACTGTATATGTATACTCGGCTGTAATATTATTTGATCCAACTTCTCCCTTTTTTAGATGCAGGTTGGGAAGAACCTTGCGAAAAAAATATTCAGTGTTACTCTACTTTGAGTACTGATGCAGTATGTGATGGTGTATGCAAATGTGCGGAGGGTGCTCATCGTTTCACAGACGGAAGGTGTTATCAATCAATAAGTAAGTTAAATTTAAGAAATAAAGTTTTAGATCAGTAATTTTAGTATAAATGCCGGTACGGTACTATTAAGAGTTTTTCTTTGTAACAGAATATAGTTATAAACTCAATGATGGAAATTTAGATGCAACAATAACTTTTGTTGTACCCAAAAAATATATATTTCAAAATAACTTCTTTTGTTAGATGTTCAAAATACGTTTTTGTTTAGTGTTTATGCTTTTACTTTGTTTTCAAGTTTACTCACTTGCGAAAATATGCAAATGCGACTGTTATAGTTAACGCATGACAAAACATTTTTAAGTCAAAATATCCGGAATTTCATAAACATTCATAACATTGTAAATTAATTTTATTACAAGTATGGTATAGATATCACTATTTTCTTGTTACAGTTGCAGATATTTTATACTTTATAGAATAGGTAAATTCGGTGTTAACATCTAGATGCTCTAGATAATTATATCTCTTTGTCTATTCATCTGTTACAGTTAGAAATGATCAAAATACATCTAGAACGTCTATGTAGATATTAATACCGAACTTGCATTACCTGTATATAAAGATTGCTAATTATAGATAAGGAGTAACAGATAACACAAATACGTAGACCTCCGAAATTTGTGATTCACTTATTTAAAATGACTATTTCAGTAATTTATTATCAGTTTCCCATGAGTCAGCATTATTAATAGAATACCTCTGTTGAAGCTAATATAATATATGCATTTCCTATTGAAATATATGAAAAACGAAAACTATGAGAAAATCGTCAAGATGTCGATATTTATTCAATGCGAAAATTTTTTTCAAAAACCTTTCATTTAGTTCTTTTTATGCTATGATGTTTGCCTTTTTTTAATACGCTCGTGCTCCTTAACTAAGGTTTGCTATTTACCATTTAGAAATCACGGAGACTTTTCCCAGAAAAACGACACTGATTGTGCTTGCCACCAAGAAAAGAAACCTAGATGAGATGGGGGATGGAGGTGCTCACAATTGATGGGAAACCTGTCGAAACAAGCTGATTACTTACACTAGTGACATCGGCACAGCTACAATTTTTGTTTGGGGTGGTCCCATGGCTGCAAACACTCCAAAAAAAAGGTCAGTGACTTACCGATATGAAGAAGGTGATAATATTAGATCTGTTTTTCTGGGGAGAGGCTGTTTACACCCCTGCTCTCCCTTAGCTATCTACGTCCATGACTAGTAAGTAGTCACCGTGCTGGTAAAGTCAGTGTTTAATATGGCAGAACCTGAGCACTGAAGACGAGGATGTTACACTTGATGTAGGAATGCACACTTCGATAGAGAGATCTAGGCTTCTTTATAGTGCCTAAGGTTCAACCATTGTAAGAGAAAAATAAATTTTGGAAATAGACTGATCTGAGAATAAATACTGTATCAGTATAACAGGAATGTCTTATTAAAAGTTAAATATGCTACTACTCTATATCGTGATCGAAAGAGTAGTAGTATGGCAGCGTACCGTGTCAAAAACAACCGGTGCAGGATAGTAAGGAATTCTCCATTGTTTGAGGTAACATGTCAGCCAATGCAAAATTTAGTTTTCACAACCTTTTTGAGATCTGAATGGAATAGGGTACCTATCAAGAATAACAAAAGTTGAAATACGAATGGTTCCAAAAGAGACAGTGGAACAGAACTATATGATGAGATCTAAGTGGCACAGAATCTACAGCCTTTAGGCTCATTATTTTTATCGAAATTATTCGCAATTGCTAATTGAATTGCCAAGTACCAATACGATTCGGCAGTGTTGGGTGCCAAGATGGGTGAACTGAAATAGCAGATCAATTTGAAAACAAGGCATCTGAAACAGTTTTCCTAAAACCAGAGTCAGCGTTTGGCGTTCCTTACAGTACCGCAAAGGAAATTTTGGAAAGATGGATTTTGGAAAGTTAGATTTTGGAAAGAAACGTTGTAAACACTGGGACTCGAGACCAGGGCAAAAACAAGCGGATGGAACTGGCTATTTTCTCGTGGAAAAGAACAAATAAAATGCCATTATGATTAAGATCAGGGTTTGCACGCTTGTGAGTAAAGGATAGGTAAAAACTCTGGAGAACCAACTCAAAGGTTTAGATAAACAAATTGAAGTTTAGAATATTAATTGATTCAACGCATTCTCATATATCTAGTTCTTGCACCACAAATGATTTTTTGGCATATCATTATTATTAATACGAATATTTCTCTCCAACTCAAATGGAAATGTTATATTTATTTAGCCAAATGATACAACAAAAATATTTTAATATTTATTGTAATTATTAATGTTAATATTTGCAAACTTCTGTTACAGCGTTATCTTCAATAAAAATGATAGAAATAAATTATCTATCGATTTTTTGTTAAAGTACAAATTGTCCTATCAAAAAAGGATTGAACGTAAAATTTAACAATACTGTTAACAACCAGTTTGTTTGTGCTCGATATATGACAATTTTTTTTTCAGTTTAATGCGAATAAGTTGCATTGAGACGAATAACATTTTTATATCTTAAATTGTTTGAAAAGGGATTTATATAAACTATTAACGGAAGGAAAATAATAAAAATTTTCACCGAGAAAAATACTTTTTTAATATAATTTATAAGACAATGTTATTAATGAGTGTTTCAATATGTACTTGTATATGTAATTTATATTAAAATCTAAATTTTTTTTCTAGGGTTAGGAGATTTTTGTCAAACAGGGGGCAACTGTCTACTGAGCGACGGAACATTCGGCAATTGCATTGATGGAAAGTGCGACTGTAAATTTGACAGACAAATTCCCACCGAGGACGCTATGAGTTGCGTGGAGGCTAGAAATTTAGGAGAAATTTGCGACAATAATGATCAGTGCTCCTCCATACCATATGCTGTTTGCAGAGTAAGCTGTAGATGCGCACCTGGATATGCCTTATCACGAGATGGAACAAGGTGTCTGGAAAGTATGTAAAATAATACCAAAATTTATATAATAAGACAAAGGGATACTGTAAATAATTGTGTTATTAATTTTCTATGTCTGTTCCTTATTTTATCAACAAGTTTTCTCGTATTCCATTTTTTGCAGACATGTACATCAGTTATAAAAATAGGTAATAGTATAGTAAGTTATTTCCTTTATTTAAATTCGTAGATACTATACTGAAAATAACGTCACCTATTTTTTATTTATAAACATACAACTGTGTCAAGGATAGGAACATTTTTAAAGAATAAAGGATACGATTAAATGTATTAGTCACTTTAAGTCACCATTAACATAGATTAATAATATCCCATTTAACAAAGAAAGTTGTGCTACAAAGAGATTTTTTGATGTGGGTGGAATATAACATGGTTTTTAATCCATTACAGTAATGTGAACCTCCTGGTATTACCATGATATTAATTTTAGTCTCAACTGGAAAGGGAAATCGATTACACGTTAGTTTAAAAATACCACTATTAGCTTAGTTATAAATTCACACCAGCTGGTGTTACTATGTGTAGGTATATAGACCAAAAAAGGCAATGTCAATCAATGAACTTCTAAGGCCTCTTTTTTCTTAGTTTCAGGTTAAATTATCAATGTAGTTTATAAAAATAAATATATTGATACATGGAAATAATTAGAAACCATTATAATTTTTAATACAAACAAAATGAATTATAAATTAATTCCAATAAAAAATTAATAACAATATTAATAAAAACAATCGTTTATTAAAACTTATTTAAGGTGACCCAGAGTGGGTATCGCTCTCCATTTTCCTGATATTTTTTGAAAATAGTGAAGAATGTGGGTATAAAAGTTATGGGACTCCTACATTTTTTGATAGAATATTATAAAGACAATTAGTTATACAGGGTGTCCCATCGGGAACTGCGTTGATCGATGTCTAGGAAAATAATTCTCCGAAATATTTGAAAATTTGGCTACATGGCAATTTCCCTGGGCGAACACAACTAAAATATCTAGAACTCTCCAGCGCTTCTGGTTATACCGGAAATCGACACCAATTTCGTTATTTTAAATGGGACACCCTATATATTAATGCATTTTCGAATTCTAAGTGAAATTTGAGGGCCACTTTATTAAATATTCCCTATACTTAGGAGTTATAGAATTTGAGATATTAATATTTAAAGAAAAAATTTGACAGGTGCAAGGGTCCGTGGAGATGCTAGTAACTCTTTTTAGGAGCATGATATCGAGTGGATTTTTGGTACCTGTAAAGGGCATAGGTAACACTAAATTATGGTATAACAACAAATTAAAACATTTAATAGTAGGTGTTTCATTTTTGCTGTTACATTTTGATAACTTCAGATAGCTATAACTTTGTTAACTTAAATGGAACACCCTGTATTTTTTTACTCTGTCGAATGCAGATTAAAATTTACTTTCAAGCCATATAAGTATTGTTAGGGTTGCCATTACTACTTTTAGAGATGTTTGCTATTTTCTTTTTTTTGGACAGTAGTTGCTCGTATCAGACCTGTTGTCAAATTGGCCATGACCAGAAACACTTCAAAAACAATTGAAATAACTTGACATTTGTCAAGTTAGTTGTTAAATTATTGTTGTGTCGTGAATAGTTTTTTTCGGAAAATTTAAATAAAATTGCCTGTGGATCGTTTAAATTATACTAATGAGGATTATTTTAATTTATTTGTTATTTATGGAAAATGTGACAAAATAATTTCAAGAACATGTGAAGAATTTGCTGCTTTTTCCACTACTTTCTTAACTTATTACTTCATATTTCGAGAAAAAGCAGAATATAGAAAAACAATTTTGATATCCATTTAATCTTCTCATAGAAACAATAATGGTACTTTTATTTCAGCGGCGACGCAATTTTTTGATCCTTGTGAAGAGAATGCCCAATGTTCAGAGTTCTTACAAGGAAGCTTTTGCAACAACGGTAACTGCACCTGCGAAGATACTCATCATGGGTATGGTACTAGATGTACGAGAAGCGCAGGATTAGGTGGTACCTGCAGCGGAATGGAAGAGTGCATACCAGATCCGAGATTTTCAAATGTAGCGAATTGTATTGATGGGACTTGCCAGTGCCTTCCAGGTACAGTTGATGAAACTATAGGCTGTAATTCTTGCAGGGTATATTATAACTTGCCCATTATTAGTGTCTGCCTTTTGTATTTATTTTCACATATCTATTAATTTAGAGTACATAAATATTCGTTGTTAATGTGGCTCACCGACGGTAGTATTTCTAGATCTACAGGAAACTATTAGCCAAATATTTTCTAATTTATTATTTACCAATCCATTAATTTTACACTTATTAACCTATCACAATGTAGTAGTAATTATTGTCACAGTTAGAGCAGATGATTGATTCATAGAGTGTAATAGTTTAGTGTATAATTATACCGACTTTTGTACCTGTAATAAAATACTTTTTTTATCTCATTTTTATTAAATATGTCCATACAGGGTGACTCATAAATTGAGTCATATTTTTTAAAAGCATTTGGAACTATTCAAAACAATAAGTTATTAAAATTATGCTTTTGAATAATTCCAGAACAAGGTAGATATAGATAATAGAAGAAAATAAGCTGGGCTTAGCAAATAATATAAGCAAGTCGATCGCCCGTATACAAACACCTAATGTTTATCGCTTTTTGTGGATATTTTTAATTTCTGATCTTGTAAGTTCGTTTCAGAGTTATCGTGGATTTTGGAAAACATATCCTTAAGATATATTTTAAGAAAATGTGTGGGCACCTGTGGTCAGCGTTATTCTCATTGGGTCTTTTAAGAGATGAATATTATCTGGAATTTTTGCAAAAATCATTTTCCGGCTCTTCTAGAGATATGCCTCTAAACGTCAAGAAAATGAGATTGATACAAAATGGAGCACTAGTCCATTTTAGGCGTAAAATGCGAGAGTTAATATCTAGACATTACTTTTCGTAATAAGTGGGAGGGCCAGCCAGGTCCGCTTTTAAAACGTTAGTTAAAACAAGGGAAGAACTTACTGTTCACATAGAATATGCCGCTGATACAATTAGAAGATCCCTATTATTTTAAAAATGATATTAAAAAAATTCTATAAAAAAAGTTCCCCTGTATGTATCGCAAATAAAAAAGAATTAATAAGCTTTCTACATCGATATATACGCAATATCTTTCAGAATTTGAGAAATGAATGCACACTTTAATTGTGTACATTCCAGTATATTTCTGAAACAAAATTTATTGATATAATCTTACAACCAGGTTAGAAACATGAATTGCAATATTGGAAGTGCAACACCGTGAAGTCATTCAATACTTTTTAGATAGATAATTATTTTAGTGTGTTAAGAGTTAACAATATTCATGAAAATGCAATTTTTCTAAGTGAAAGTAGTGTCAATGTTTTTATCTAATACTGAGTCAATCTTATAAACATGAGTAAGCAACTAAGGCGTTGTGGGATGAAAGTGATGTCATGGATGTAGGATAGATAAACTTAATTTGAATTTACTTCAACAATTGCAACCCTTAAAATTAAGGGTGTTAACTAAAATCGAGAGTTACGTTGGAATCACATGTGGTATTTACAAACCTCACATGCAAATACGCATGCACCATAATAAAGAAAAGAAAATGCTAAAAATTCATTTATTCAGTATGTTCGTAGCGGTATTCCTTTAGCCCCTGGAAAAATGAAGAGAAAAAGAAAACTAAATCAAAAATATTTTCGCGCGTACTAGAACAACTTACTAAATAATTTTAGAAAAATCAGGAATTGCTTTATTATACATATGATACGGATTCAGAAACATGCTGTATTCAAACAAAAATAAAAAATATATATAACGATTGATATTGAACAGAAATCTGTAATAATTACAAGACAGATGATACATACAGATGTACCCACCCAGAGATCCGAACCAGGTACTGCTCATTTCTGGACCAAGTTATCTTCACTATGATTAATGATGATGTCCAATAAATTTATGGTTATATTGTTGCTCCTATACGCGTATTCCTTATAATATATTATCTTGAAATCCATTAAATTATAAAACATGTGGATTAATCAAGTGTATGACTTCCCGTTTTCTATAGTTTTCCTATTCATTTCGAACATTTCTTTCAGTTGTCTATTGTCATTGTAATATAAAATAAATCGTGTCGCCTTGTTTATTACTGATTTCTTCTACTTTGAATAAAGACATATTATCATTATTATACAACATACAATAGTGACAATGGACGTTTTTTTATAATTAACTATTTTATAGTTGCAACATTTTTAATCTGAAAATTCAGAATAATGTAAATATTATTATAATGACACTCATAAAGAAAGTTCGTACGCAGGCATATTCAAATAGGTAAAGATAATAGCAGTGTTTATGTGTAGCCATTGATACAATTTGAGAATTAAAAGCAGAATGTTACTTAAAAAAAAACTATATTGTTATCCTTAATACAATATTTACAAACATAAATACATAATAAATAAATATCACTGTTGAGTTTCCTTCTTGAACGAAAATTACAAAACTCGATGAAGGTAATACAATATCATGCAAGGTAATACTAGTCCACTTTTGATTGCAATATTTGAATCTGAAAAAAAGTGTTATAATGATATTGTATGTGGTGCGTGGTTAATATTTATTTAAGTATACCTTTTAAAAAAAATAAAATATTTTCGACTGGTATTAATTTTAAATAACGAAGTACTTATACCTTAATGAAAATATAGTCCCCTGGGGATAACTATTTAATATTTTAATAGAAATATGTAAACTTCGAATTGTGTAGTTAATGCAAAGAGTGTTTTTATTTATTTATTTACTTACTTATTTATTTTTGTGGTTCAAAGAAATAAAAACGTACCTATATATGTTTGTGTAGGTTTTATAAATAAAAGCAGAAATATTCAGGTTAATTCTCGATCAGCAAGAATGAATGTATGGGTACTAAAAAGTATGATGTTGAAGATTCATTGCTGTAGATTTTCATTTGTTAGATATTTCGATATCACTAAAATAAATATTAACGTGCAAATGGAAAAATGATGGAAATTCTTATGGCGCGTGACAATGCACTTTAAAATAATAAATGCTTAATTTACACCGTCTATATTTAAAAACACATTTATTATAAAAAAGCATTAATGTTTTTTTATACTTCGTTATTAAATGTCAATTAAGCATTTTTATCCAGTTTCTAGTAAGACAATGTTAAGTATATAAGTCATTCATATTTTTCTATGAAATTTACTTACTTGAACACAGTCCATTTTCATCAAGAGATAAATTTTCTTTACATTTACATGTGGTTTGATGATTACAAAATGCTCCCTCTATGCAATGGTCATCATATTTACATTTTTGGTCAATAACTGAAATATATAATAAAATAATAACAATCGAAATAATAAAATAATAACAATCGAAATATTTTGACGATGTTAATAATAGTATAGTTTTAATGAATATGTATGTTAGTCTTATCGTATTAGTAATATTATTATGTAGGTACAAAGCCGCATATAGAGCAAGAGGCGCCTTCACGCGAAAGTCTATTTAGCCTTTTTGGTAAGGTGTTTGGGGGTGGGAGCAGGGGATAAGAAAGTTGTTGATTAAATTATGTTATAATAAGTGAAATTAACAAACTTATTCTATATAATGTGGCATAATAATAAAAAATCCGAAATTTTGATTTCTGAAATAACATACCTACTACCAACAACGTAAAAATTCAATTCCCTTCGAGTAGCCTCTAAATTTTTATATGGGAAGTAGGGGCTTGTGATACCTCATTTGAACGATATTTTCATTCTCTATTCAAAAATGCTATGGTTTTAATATTTGTTGCAAAAATTAATGGTCTGTTTGACGAAATTCATTACAACAAACAAAAAAATAAAAACAAGGCGTGTTTTGTTCATATATTCCAGCCTAACGAAAACAATTTTAGTGCTATATTTTAGCATTGTCAACTAAAAAGAAGACATAAAAACTTATTAAAATTGTTCAAAGCTGGCATTTCCAGTTTTATTGTCAACGCCCTAATTACTTGCTATTTAATTTTACAACAATAAATAGCGTTTTGCGTATTGTTTGAATTTTGCTCGCTTGAATTCCTAAACATGGTTTGTTTAACAGAAATGCATACAATAGCAATTAAACAGATGTTTGGTTGGCGGTTACGGAGATAGGTATAATAACAACTATAACCATTTATAAGGCTACAGATCACCATTAAATCACCAAACTGTCTGGGCCTTAAGGTATTTAATAAATTACCTAATGATGTAAAGACCTGTTGTACTGTTGAACTTTTTAAAAAGAAACTAAAATCGTACCTAATTTATATGTGTCCGTATTCCTTGGATGAGTAGTACCTACCTACTTACCTACTTTAGATTTTAATGGACTGCGATTTTGTTTTTTTATGTGAACTAAGTATATGTGATCTAATGTTTTGTTAATTTATTTAATTTAGATTATAAGTTATGTGTGACAAATTGTTATACAGTGTAAAGTGTAGAAAATATATATTATTATAAATATGGAATAACAGTTCCTCAATCTGGTATCTACTTAGGCAACCAGTGATGCATGTTTCAGATCATAATAATGAACAGAGAATATAATAATTGTTTTAAGTTTTAAGGTTTTTAATTAATATTAAATAATATTCGTTGTTTAGTTTTATTGCTTTTAAAATATTGATTACTGACCATAAGATTAGAAACCAGAACTCAGCTGTATAATACAACAATAATACAGCTAATTTAGTTAATCATTATGGTAATTATTGGCAAGCATTTCGAGGTGAGAAGTAATTTATTTAATTATTTGCATTTGCAATTATGTGGTTACTACTGCACAGTGGCGTAGGTACTCATTGTTATTATTTTTTACGTGTAATTGGAATAAGAAATAATTGGAAACTGCACTTGAAAGAATAGTTGCTTACAAAATAAAGGAAGATTACCTTGGCTATATAAAAATATGTTTACTTCAAAAATATACTATTTAGTAAAACGTTTTTATAATATGCGTCTGCGAGATTTTTTTCGTGGCTTTTTTATTTTTTGGGTTTAGGAAATCCAAAAATTATAAATTCTTCTTTGTCCCTACATGTATGCACCACTGGTATCAAAACATACGTCTTTTATTGATCATAAGTAAGTATATTAAGATATAAAATTGAAAAGATAGACGCTAACTTGTCTTGTAAACCGAGAACAAAAATTTGCGATGTAATTTTTTTTACAGTTTTATGTTTAGTTAGTAAAAAAAACTTCAATAAAACGCTACTATTTTAATAATTTCACTAATTTTAATACTAATTAAATTCCTTTATTTGGGTAATAACTTAAATACTGGATGTTTTCCAATTTCAATCATAAAAACAAGTTGATCTTTAAGTCACATCAGCTTCAAAACATTTTTGAAAATTAAGTCAGTCGGTTGTTCGAAATATTTAATAAATACCATACTTAAAATATTTCAAACTGTTTCAGATTGGAACTCGTGTTAATTTAAACGAATTAAAAGTAAAAATACACTAACAATTGTTTTAAATTAGAATGCAAATACAAGTCACACAAAAAATTGTTTTTCATATACTTTTTAGCACAATACGATAACCCTCATGTATTTTGACACACTGTAGTTGATGGGGCCATATTTTTCCTTCAATGATTTTTTGGACATCGTATTAATATAATAGTATTTTACTTAGCCATATTAATTGTACAGGAATTAAATAAACTCTTCGGATTAAAAAAGTAAGCAAAAATTACATTATGGAATATTAACATTATTACATTAAAACACACCTTTAAATGAGTTACTTAATAACTCACGCACACAAAAAAAAATTCTCATACTTTCCAACAGAGTACGATGCACTCCAGTATTGTGACCCTCTGAAGACGATGGAGCCATTAGAAATGCTTCACCACGTCAGGATTTTTATTTAACTTAAAAAAATAGCTCAACATCAATGTGTTATAATAGTCAAAATTAAAACATTTTGTTTCTACACTTTTTTCTTTAAAATGCCTCCTCATAGAATTACAGCAATTTTTAACCAATTTTAAGCATTATTAAAATACCTATAACTCATCAAGAATGCATTTTAGAGAAAAAAGTGCAAGAAAAAATTTTTTTATTTTGACTCATTTAACAGTGTTTGTATACTTACTGTAATTTTAAAATATCGGTATACCCGTTTGCCATATTTTTTTTTCCTTTAGTTAGGTCTAAGGTTCATGATATATTCCTTTTTATTAGTTTATTTCATTAATTGGGTCAAATTAACACACACAATTTTTTTTTCATATAGTTTTTAACGGAATACGATACACCCCTGTATTGTGAGTCACTGAAGACGATGGAGCTATTAGAAATGCTCCATCAAGTTAGGATTTTTCCCTAACTTCTAAATATGATTTAAAATCGGTGGAAATCTCGTTAATAGAGTCAAAATAAAAACTTTTTATTCCCACACTTTTTTCTCTAAAATACATCTTTTAGGAGTTACAGGCATTTTAATAATGCTCAAAATTAGTTAAAAATGGATGTAACTGACTCCACAAGGGAACATTTTAGAGAAAAAAGTACAGGGATAAAAAGTTTTTATTTTGACTCTTTTAACACGTCTGTTTACTTTATTTTCAAAATCTTAACTATTTTAATTAAAAATCGAGATTTCCACTGAGTTTGAGCCATAATTAGAAGTTAGGGAAAAATCCTGACTTGATGGAGCATTTCCAATAGCTCCATCGTCTTCAGTGAGTTACAATACAGGGGTGTATCGTACTCCGTCAAAAAGTATATGAAAAGAAATTTGTGTGTGTGTTATTGATTCATTTAAAGGTGTGTTTTAATGAAATAATGTTAATATTCCTTATTGTAATTGACTTTTTTTTAATTCGAAAAGTTTATTAACTTCCTGTAAAATTAAGAAGGAAAATATTAAAAAATCATTGAAGGGAAAATATTCAATACCGAAGGGTCATACCATAAAATATTATATAAATACTTATATTCATACATAATTCATTACATATTGTTTACCCTATTTAACGTTGATTATAAATTGCACAAAATTAACCCCACTGAGGAAATTATTAGAAACTATTTTCACTTTAAGAAATCTGTTGTTTAAGATTCAAAGGTGGCCAACCTTTGAAACCGATTATATTAAAGTCAGGAGAAAACATTTTATGCATCCAATTTTGAATGTTATAATATGAACCTCATTTAGGGAGAGGAAAGTAACAGATCCGCAATAACAGAAATTGTTAAAAGAGGTAAATGTATGATAATATTTTGCAACCATTTCAAAAAACCTTGTTGAAATTGAATTAACGATTGTTGCAAATTATTTTGACCATTATGTAACATTATTTTATATTTTTTAAACCATCTACTTACGTCCAACACATTTATCTCCATATTTGTTCGGGATATACAAAGGAGATAAACACTGGCATGTCCTGTTTTTCGCACATAGGTAACCAAAATTTCTGCATTCTCCAACAGTTCTACACTTAGCATTTAGTTCTCCTAAAAATACCACAGTAATATTACGACATCAATATCTATTTACATGACGCACCTATGTATATTACAATAAAAACTTAATTATGAAAGTTAATTATGTTCCAAGCAAATTGAAAAATTGTTATTGCAATCAAAGTTTGAAATATGTACGGAGTTACAAAATAATTTACGGAAGTGATGTAACTGCCGTTTGTATTAATATTGTGGGACATATTTTACATGAATTAATATTTATAATATTGACTGGAGCTGCAGCACTTTTTTAAATAAAACGATTCGAATTAATTTTAACAATTTTGAACAAATTAGCAATTTATGTTATACCCACCTATGTACTTTCATATAAAACAATAAATATTCTACTTGATGAAATTTTGTATGTACGAGTTAAATATCCGTATTATATACATAAAAAGCTAGAAATATAACTTTAGAGATTATTATTCCGAAATCTAGTTAAAAACAAAAGAAACAGTTGTATTTAAATAGTGACTCACCTGATATTTGCGCACATACAGTGGTAACACTGACACAAAATGTTAAAATTAAAATGCTGTATTCCATTCTGTCTATTTAGTTGTAAACTACACAACTGATTCTCATTAGCACATTTGAAATGTGGATATCCTTGGCGAAGTTTGATCGATAATGTGATTTTTAAATTTGCTTATTTTGGAATAAATCACTCTGTTAGCCTATAAAACAAGAACACATGTTTTATGTTTATAAAATAGAAACCATATACGTACGCGTATTTAAACAACTTCAACTTCGGAGCTTTAAAATGTGAGTTACCTATATCTAGTTTTATCTTTAATGCAAATATTGATTGTAGTATGTAACTGAATCAGTAAGGTACCCTTCCTGTGCGAAGCCCTTCCATTGTCACATTTCGTAGGGACGCATTGGCTGAGGTCACCCTTTACAACGCAGTTCTACGAAATGTTTCACTTACCTACGCGTTACAGGCTTCTAGGAGGGAATTATTAAAAGGTCATTTATTTTAGGTGTCACTGAGCTATTGTTTCGTCAATTTTTTAATACATAATTACAAAGGTTGAAGTAAGAATAAATAACTCCCAAATTTATTAGGTCGTTGATATTTATTACAATACCATTGAACGTATACGAGGTTATAAGAAAACTCCTTCTCATATTACTTTATATGGATTTATTTAATTAATTTATCATGCTGTCTTTCAGGTGTTACGAAGTTTGTTTTGGAGGGAAAATTGGAGAAGTCCAAATACTCGCGAAGTATATTATACTACGTTTTAATCGCCTAAGTTGATTTATAAGTACGCTATCAAAGAATGAACGAAATGCATTTTAGCGGGAAAATTATGTAGTCCGTTCTACAAGCTGGCAAACTGGCAGATGGTAGCTGGGTTAATTTGAAACATTTTTTCTTATATGCACATAGGTCCGATTCGTTTTTGTTTAGAAGTTACAAGCATTTTAAATAATACAATTTCATACTTCAATCGAAGTAAATAAAACTGATGGTTGCTATATTTGTGTCATTTTGTATTCCTTTGGCACTTAGCGTTAAAGTGCTTTTTAACAACTGAAGAGTAGACTTCTCTGGTCCAAAAAGACCATTCGTCCTACTGAGGTGAATGTACAAAGTGAAGGAGATATAATAGATGTTGTTATTGACAATTCTTAAATTAATGTTCGGCGTATAGCAAGTAAACTTCATTTATCACCGCATGGCGTTACAAAATCCGTATGCAATTAGATCAAGATGATTTCAGCAACGTCTTAGTGACAACGTTTGGGGTAGCATTAGTATTATTACCTGTACCTACATGTTTTAAATGATCGTTTAAATGCAGATCTGTGTAGAATTTTCTTGGAAATATTAATTATATTAATTATAGCTATATCATTTTTATTTGTCAACTATTTTCATTGAAATAAGAAATTATATATTTTTAAATAACTTTTGTAACTTCTAAACAAAAATGAATCGGATCTATGTTCATATAAAAAAAATGTTTGAAATTAACCCAGCTTCCATCTGTCAAAGTTTGTCATAGAGCTTGTGAACACCCTGTATATCTACGTTTTCCATTGTGGAATACCGTACTAAGGCTTGGTCCCCGGAGGATGCGGTAACCCGCCAAGCATTTGTCAATATGTCAAATATATGTGGATTATTTTTTCAAAATTCATAATCTGGTCAAGACGTAGCAGCTTTGTTTTTCGTGTTTTGTTAGAGTTGGTTGTTTACTGTCATTTGACACCAGTACATTTTTCGAGTCCGATCTCAATAAAAGGGGACCTACGAACTGCGGCTCCTGCAAGCCTGTCAGATTACTGCACGAAAGTTGTTTGTACCTGATTTCATACAAAATACAGTCCACAAATAAAAAGGGTCTTTCATTAACAATACAAAGTTGGTATGGTGGCATACACACGTTGAAAAATGAGCACAAGACAAATATCTCTTGAAGTATACAGTACGTTCACGGTTAGAGTAAATAAAAGAAACTACTTTTTTATTTTGCATCCTACGGAAAAATTTTGCTTGTATTTAAAATTAGGTTGCCACGGAGAAAGTTAAGATTTCATGTAGGTACATGATGCCCAGAAAATTAAAAATATGAAAATCACATAAGATTTTTACTGTTTCGAAAAAATGTCACTAGGAAAAGTTCTACGGAATTGTCGACGGATATGATAGGTATGTGGAAAAAACTCTTTTTTTGCATTAAGGAAAAATCTCTTTTTCTGCATTAAGGAAAAGAAATTTTGCTTGTGATAAAAAATAATTCCCTGACGTTTTTCACTTTACTTCAAATAGCAGGTTGTGACGAAAATGACTTGAACTTAATAAGTTTTATTCTCCCCTTGTTATGTCACTGTAGGTACTTCATTTTAAAAAACCCAACAGTACCTAATTACCGCAAAATTGTTAGCTTTACAGCAAACAAATTATCTAGTATACTACGGTAGCAGTATACTAGATAATTTGGTGATAACATTTATCGTAATACAAAAATTTAATGAAAAAACTTTACATAAAATGATCCAAATATTTGTGAAATCAGAACATTTACGATTTTGGAGACCCAGAATTCGCATTTTAGAATATCACCTAGCGATAATATACAACGGAAACAGCTACCTAAATATGCTCCACACGTTTTTAAGTAACGAATTGCAAAATTTACCAGTGAGCTACCGAAATTCTTTTTATTTCCAGCAAAACGATTGTCCGGCGTATTTTGCTGTAAGTATTGCAAGCTGTCGCTGGATTGACCGGTATGGTCCATATCAATGGCTCTCACGATGTCCATATTTAAAAATTATGTACTTTTACTTAAGGGGGTGATTCAAACAGTTTGTGTAGGTACCTACACTAGATTTTTGGATATGCTACATCGATCAGCTAAAACAGCGTATTAGGAAAGCTTTAGAAGAAGAAGCTCTTTATAACTTTATTACGTTTTTTTTTAGATTAAACCAGTATTGTATACGAACTGTTTTATTTAGAAGTTGAAGTAACTGACTGAAATAACTTTTTGGCAAGCCTTTTGCTAAGTATCACTTTTTCGAAAGAATAAAAATAAAGATATTCTTATGGCTTTTCCATATTTATTAATTTCCTTGAAGCCTTGCATGAAATGGTAACTTTCTACACGGCAGCCTCATTTTTATAAAGTGAGCTTTTTTCTGTAGAATGTAAAATATTTTTTTCCTTTTATTTCCTCGAACCCTGGATATATTGCAAATGTCTATGTATATGTATATTCAGGGCCGCGTTAAGGTATGTTGGTACCTTAGGCATACTTTTTTGGCCGCCCCTCTTCATCATTACACTTAACACCCAACCTAAATAAGTACAATCGACCAATAGACCAGGACGGATCTGTTTTGAGGTGGATGTGAGAAGGGGCAAGGTAATTTTTGCTGGAATACGTTCAGTACATAATAAAGTGTAGATCCCTAGATCTGCTGGGTGAGGTCCGGAACATTTTCAAAATTGCAAAAATGTTTAAAAAATGTTAGAAAATCCCTATTTTATCTGACTTTTCTACTTATATCTTGGAACCTATGCATTTTGGAAGAATATTGAACAGGAAAAAAAGTTTTAGAATTGAATTTTGTACAGTATACTGTAAGTTAAAAATGTTTAAATTTATTACCGATGTAGAATAGCAATAATTGATGAAAAAAGGCAAAATAATCAAGTTTTATGGATAATTATTTAAAATATTTTCGAGGGCATTCTAATTTTGGTTAAAAAAACTTTACAGTATAATAAAATAACACATCAAATTTCATTAAAATCGGTTCGATAGTTTTCGCAAAATAATTTTTTGAAAAAAATTTTGAAATAAAATTTTCTGATTTTCCAAATATTGCATAGCCTTAAATAAAGCACCTAGATACTTGAAAATTTTTTCACATATTTCATCAATTTGCAATTTAGTTTTTTTCAAAAATTATAATTTTAAAGTACTCGGAAAGACGCTTCTTTAAAAAAAAAGAACGAAGAAATTTTACCCTTGAGCAATTAAAATATTTAAAAAAAAATAACCAAAATAACTTGATTATTTTGCCTTTTTTCATCAATTATTGCTATTTTTTTAACTTACAGTATATTGTGCAAAATTCAATTCTAAAACTTTTTTTCTCTTCAATATTCTTCCAAAATCCATAGGTTCCAAGATTTCCAAGATGTGTAGTAAAAAACTCCGATAAAAAGTAATTTTTAAAATTTTTTAAACATTAACTACAATTTTATTATGTGAGTTGTACTGAAGGTATTCCAGCAAAAATTAACTTGCCCCCTCTTACATCCAAGAAGTGGAATATTTCGACAGATCCTCCCTGGTCTACAAATAGTTTTGTAATTTTTGTTTTTAAATCATATTTTAATGTATTTATTTCACTCCTCTATTGTTTGTAAGATATATTGTTAAATTTTTATTTGTTACATTTTTTATTAGAATTAGTATTTTCTTGCCGCCCCCTACCAGACTGCCGCCCTAGGCAGCTGCCTTTCTTGCCTAATGGATAAATCGGCCCTGTGTATATTTAGTGAATATTTGGCAAGGCATGTTTTAGAAAGCATCACTCACACTATACGATATTTGTTTATGTCAAAAAATTTTTGACATATGACCGCAAGGTGTGGAGACGGCATACGGAAGTAACGAATAAATCTGATATCTTCGAAAGAATTATTTGTCGAAAGAGGTCGATTGGTAAATTTAAAATTAAATAATTGTGACGTCATCAGTCTAGAGGTCATAACGTGATGGATATCTTTTCCTTTACATAATTTTTGACATACAGTTTTCATCGTTTTTTCGACAGATACGTTTAATATAATAGAGTTCCATTTATTTATTAAATATAGTAAGTAATGTAGTTCTAATGCGCTCAGATAAAACTGCTCAATAAAAGTTTCATATTGTATCTGTTCCCTGCATGGGTGAATTTTTAAATTTTTTTCATAGATGAAGCCTGTGGTCTGATCATGTAGGTAATTTTGAAAAATTTTAATTTACCTGCATTTCTACTAATTGCGTAATATTGCACAAATTTACAAGGGAAGTTATGTAAAAAGATATGTATTCCGGCACAGGTAAAACATAACCGATGATGCCATAACTTTGACAAAATGAGTTCAAAGGTGCCAAATATCTTTCTTATGCATTTCTAACGCATGCATTATAAA